ATAGTTGTATAGAAGTCTTCGTGCCAATTAATAGTCAGAGGCGTAATCGAGGACAGATGAATGTTGGCATGAAGATTGCCGTAGGCGGATGCAAATCTCTCTCTCAGAGACAAGTTGTCGGCGTGTCCTGCAGGTGGAGATAGTACGGTGATGATGAAGGCCAGCAGGTAGATTAGTGCGCATATCGCGATACCCACAAGTATTAGCAAGTGTGGGATGAATCCAATGATGCATACAGTAGGAAATCTCAAGATTCCCACGTAGTGGTCTGGATCGGCGACCATGGTTGCTAGGCGAATACAGCTCCATGCGAAAGCTGACATGTAGGCGAGTCCGCAGATTGTTGTCGTGACGAGTCGCCATCTAGACCGCACTCCAGCGATCGCTAACAAGTTGCTCATGAAGTGGCTGAAACTAGAGATGAGGGAAATCAACAGCACTTCCGGTGGTACATTGGCGATCTTGGAGAGCTTTGACCTCGGAATCGTGAAGGATGTGCCATCTGGAGTGAAGACAGACTTCGGTTTAAAGAAGCGTACGGAATCGACCGCTAGCGGCTTCGTAACGACAGCCTCGGCCTCTGCAAATGCGAGCGAATGTTCGAAGATGGTCATTCCGACTTCCTGAATGGGGCGTCTTCCTTGCAGGGCGCAGGCCAAGGTATCAACGAACTGGCCAAATCCAAGTGTCACAAACATGGGCCATAGAAGCGATAGCGATCCAGAAGGCCGCGTGGTCGCCGGGCCGATGGGCAACATATTCGCAGCTCGACATGAGCTCTCTGTAGTCTCCCAGAAGAGTATCTTTGACGTGACCTGCCATAGAAAGCCGCCTTCACCACCGAAGTCTGTATCCAGCTGCCTACCATCCGCTCCATACTGCATCTCTGACCAACCCGGGGAGGTTTGACAGCGTATCGCCCGTAGAGTGTTCTGCGTCTGATAGAGGAAGAGGATCAAGGGCATGATGTAGAGGGCGAAACGAAGGTAGAGGCGGTCGAAGGAAAGCGGAACGCGGCTGTTGGCGTAGAAGTGGGTTCTGTTAAGCACGATTGCCTGAGACGTCAAGTCAGCAAAAGGTAGTAGTCGTAGTCATGGGAGCAGATGCTCACCAGGGCGAATGTTGCGACGGCCCATTTGGAAGTAATGTAGCTGAACCAGGCGGCTACGTTCCTCAAAGCTTGCCACACGGTCATCTCGCCCTCGGTCGAAATCGCAGAAGCCGCTGCAGCGATGGATTCCTGTACAAATCCCGAGCCTGTAGTCGTCATGGTGCTGTTTGTCATGTTGGCCGTAGGTTCCGCGATAACGCTTCCACCCGAGCGCATCATGTCGCCGAGAGAACTGGCCTTGGAGAAGAGGCGCGGTAATGCCATGAGCAAGTCTGCTGGCGACGGCAAGAAGGAAGTCGCGTTGGCAGACGCGCCTGGCGTCTCCATTGCGGCGGTTGCGGATATCCGAGGATGGGTCGGCAGGCAGAACTATTCGAAGTCTTGATTAAATCCAGTGATTATTGAAGCAGATACATGGCGACTGTGAAGACAGATGCAGTTCACAGCGATAGTTGGGTCAAGCGTCTTGAGCTTGCGCGACGATGTAAGGGTGCTGTGGACTTGGTGCGGAAGTCGACCGTGGAATCCTTGGAATGACGCGACCTCCGAGCCGTCGGGCTGCAGCTGCATAGGTAAACCTCCGAGGTATACTGACGTGCGCCACACCCCAATGGTACACGATTTCACAGATGATCACGACTGCTATTCAACAAATGCACAAGTGTCATACATGCCATGACGGATGTCTACGATGTGCCTACGTCGTTGAACCAGGCATACTTGAGTAGTCGGATGATGCATTTCCACGTCCGCTATATTTCAACGCCCATGATGCTAGGGTATGGTACAATCATATGTCTACACTCCACCGCCATATTTATCTATGCCGTCTTGGGCTTCTTCGTTCCGTACTTGGACCGTGAGGTGATTCTGCTACCGACACCACCCTGCAGAGTGTTAGCGATGTCTTCCCATGCTATTTGTGCTCATGAGACTTACCAGGTCCAGTGCTCCTCGAACCAAATGGTACTTCACACCAGGGCAATCTTGCGCTCGTCCGCCTCGTACCATGACGACTGAATGCTGCTGTACATTGTGACCTGGGTACTGGTCAGTCTCCCCGTAGCTCACCATTCCCATGTGTTTGCCATACCTTCTCCCGGAATATACGCCGTGATAACCTTGCCCGTACTCAGCCTGACCCTCGCAATCTTTCGCTCGCCCGAGTTGGGCTTCTTCGGCTTCGTCGTTCCCACTTTCAGACATACGCCCTTCAGCTCTGGCCTGTCCTTCAATTGTGGCGATCGCAGTTTACGCGCCTTCCGCGCTATCCTCCCCTGTCGCAGGACTTGTATTAATGTGCATTTGTGTGCGCGCGACGACGGTGTTGGGCGGGCTGCGAAGGCCGGGGTACTGTTCTGGAAAGCGGAGGCGGCGAATGATGGCCGTATTGATCGCGCCGGAGCGAAAGGAACTGCGGAGAGGATCGAGGGGCGCGCAAGACGTCGGAAGAGTGTGAGAGGCATTATGGGCGGGCGCTGTGGTGTGGCTCGAGATGTTGGTTCTGGACAAAAGTTCGAGATCCAAGATGGTGGCTGACTCAGCTAGGATGGCTAGTTGGAGGCCATTCCAGGTGCCCAGCGACACAGACAGCGCACCATCAGAGAATTGCATTTTCTTTTGCAGTAATACATGTGCAGCACTGGAAGTAACAATTCAACATGACATAATAATGTACATGCCTAAAGACACCGCATTACGGTAATCGCTCAATACAACACCTTATTTGGTACTACATGACGGTACCGACAAAATGGAGGTATGACGATGGAGTGAGGGCATAGATCCCGTATTAAAGATGAATGCTCATGCGCGGGAGTGTATCACGAACAATACACATATTCACCAAAACACATAGAGGAACAGGGAGCTCTACAGTCAACTCTCTACCATTATCAGTCTCGCACTAGCTACATCACCACCTATTGCAACATTCCCACGTGTCTCTAGTACGGCTTCTTGGGGCCTTGTAGAGAATGAGGGTCTCATTTCAAGCGAGCACGTCGTTGCCACGCGTCTCCCGTCACTTCTCATGACGGCTCGGGTGACCAGGAATGCAATCGTACACAGTGTATTTAGTGATGACTTCCAAATGTAACGCTGTGCTGAGATAGCGGCGGGAGCCAAGAGGAATAGTCCGCTTAGAGGAAGTAATCCGGGGTCCTTCGCGACACCATAGGCTCGCCAGCGCGTGGGCAAGGGTCGAATTGCAAGCTGGGACGTGTGTTAGATATTGAAAATAGCATATCGAGAGGGAAGGAACTTACAAGGTATACTTTAGATGCTCGTCGATCTCCATGATAGCGGCCTGGTTACCGCATCTGTAGCAGTAGTTCGGTGCTGTACAAGGTCAGTCGGATCATCGGCAACGGAAAATCAAGAGACATACCCGAGAATATGGTAACGACATTCCTGTCTTGCGACCAATTATACCCCTCCATGACTAGCTGATGAGCACGTGCCACCAGCGTCAAGCCGTTGTTGTGGTTGAAGGCCTCTGAGATGTCTTGACCGAAGGTGTATCCTGCACCACGGGGTGAGATTCCCCAGCCGCACCTGTCATCTGGGTCGGACCAAAGCAGGTCGCACATTGGTCCTTCGTGGGGCACCTCTTGTATGCGGTCGAGCGCCCTGATGTTGTCAAGGGTGTCGATGCTAGGAGAGAGACCACCGTGCAGACAGAAGATCTGGTTGTCGATCAGGGCGGTAAGCGGCAGGTAGTCGAATAGGTCTGTGAAGTATTTCCAGACGTTGGCATTACCGTACTTGCGGAGACACTCGTCGTAGAAGCCGTAGACTTGGGTGATCTGGCGGGACTCGTGGTTGCCACGGAGAATGGTGATGCGCTGGGGGTATCGAATCTTGAGTGCGACTAAGAGGGTAACGGTCTCGACGGAGAAGTAGCCTCTGTCGACATAGTCGCCTGTGCACGTCAGTCAGTATGGGCTGGCAGGGTTGAGGCAGGCAACGCACCCATGAAGAGGTAGTTGGTGTCCGGGTTGGGGCCACCGATCTTGAACAACTCCATCAAGTCGTGAAACTGGCCGTGTATATCACCGCAGACAGTGACGGGGCATTTCTATGCGACGGTGAGCAGATGTCGCAAGCGCGGCAAAAAGGGTACGTACCACTGGCTGTACATTGGACTCGTCCTGAAGTACCTCGCGGGCCTGTAACACGATGCTTGTCAGAAAAGGCATCCCCGATGACATTGCGCGCCAGGCGGATGTCGCATACCTTGTCGCATAGTCTCTGCACGTCGCTCTCGGCCAGCTGCTTGCAGCTCATCAGACTCTCAATCCAGCCGTCCAGCGTGGGGATTGTGGTCGGCTCAGTCGTGGGGGCAGACGACAGCTGCATAGGCTCTGGCATCTTGACGTCCTCCATATTGGTATCCATGGTTGCGGGGCGGCGGGATCGATGTAGGTGGGGGGTCGATCGGTTGTTGTGATGTAGAGCTGCTGTCGAGGGGTTCTTGCCCTTTCAAACTCGACCAATGACGTGCAGCAGACACGAGTAGAGGCGGTGGGCGGTAGCGACTTGCAATCCGGAGGGCGTTGGAGTCGGAGGCTGTGTGTGGCGTGCAAGGCGATATCGACGGCGGCAGCAGGATCTATGACAGGAATATGGGGAGAAGCACGACCACGCACTGCAGGCACATACTACCTTGGAAGCAGGCCGTAATGGTGGATTGTTTCTCCGCGCCGGGTACCAAGAGCCTCAGGCGATTTAGCGCGAACCGTTAGCTGCGGGTCTGTGCGCGGCCGCTACTGCGGGCAGCTTTGTGCAGCAGCCGCGACCCTCGTCCCTTCTCCACTCTACACCACTTCCACCACATTGTTGTCACTACTGCCCATCGCACCCACCACCGCGACAAGCAATACCAACAATGTCCAACAAGCGCGCTTATAGCGCCTACCTCTCCAGCGCGTCTGCGGATATGCTAGTCGCTGCCAATGGCTTCGGCGCTCCCCAACTGCAGGTAAGTAGTCGTCGCTGCCTATACTGACGCGACGCGAGCTGACAGCAACGGCAGGCGCAGCAACACACCCCTTCCTCAATATCACATCTGCGTATCCCAGGCGGATGGCCACAAGATCACCTCATTGCCGCCGAGGAAGTCATACCTCCGCGCGCTTCTCTCTTCACCACGCTCGGCAAGTGGGCTGCGACCGTCAGCGTTACCAACCTGCTCTCACTCCCTGCACGCCTCGCAAACCGCTATCTCCGCCGCGAGACTATCAAGGCGATTCCCATCATCTCCGCCACCGGCTCCAACAAGAAGCGCTTCATCTCCGCAGGTCTGGCAGACGAGGAATGCGCGACACCTTCGCCTTCAGTGCGCGCGCGCGCGAACCAGGCGCGTCGCGAACACCAAAGGCAGGCGCGCGCGTCAGAGCTAAGCCCCAACCAATTCCGCGTTCCGCCAATTCAATATACGTCATCAGCACATACACAAGAATTCGAGGAAATCGTGCCTGGAGCATACAATAGAGATGTATCTCTCGACGAGGGCGGCAACGTCAGCCTGGAAGACGACGAGGACCTTGAGGTCAGTGTAGACTTCTCTTTCGAGGATGTCTTCACTTCAACCCCGCCGCGCGACCCCCAGACCGGCTCTCCCATGACAATATTCTGGAACAGCCCTCAGGTCGCCTCACCCGCGGTTGCCTCGCCCGCAAGCCCGGTCTTGTCATCCCCACTATACCACTATGACTCGCCTACCTACGACAATGCCAACCCGGCCTGGATCTCTGAGCTCCGCAATGCTTCAACTGCCCATGCCTCTTCAGGTCTTACGTCACCGTCGGCGCAAGCACTCTCCTCATCGCAAGCATCCACAGGCCCAGCCCCTAATGGCAAGCGCACTTCCAACCTGCCTACGGTCACACCTCTGCGACGCCAATTGGTCAAGGCACAGATGTACAGGGAACGCAAGCGCATCGCAGGCCTCAATGCCGCGCTCGAGTCTACGGAGGAAGGTTTCGCCGATACCGAGCAAGCTAAGAACAGTTTCGCCGAGTCATTCAACCAGAACCCCTTCCACTCCACGAATGCTTGGTCATCAGCATCTCCATCACAACCAAAGACTGAAACCGAAGCTGCCGTCCCCGACTTCGAGTACGCCAACGACTTGTCCTTTCTCCCTGAGGTCACTGAAACCTCTGAAGTCGAATACGCCAACGACTTATCATTCCTCGTTGATGCGCCATCTCCACCGCGAGCGAAGGGAGTGCGTTGGGAAAAGGATGCTAAATGCAAGCCCTTCTACGTCGACACGAAAGTCAGCGAGATGCTCGACTCCACGCTAGAGACGATTACTTCAAGTCCGATCAGGGAATACCACAATGTGTTCCAGAACAACGATGGCGGCGCATCAAATGCCAGCCAGGCGTCATCATCTTCTCGCTCGTCAGCAGACAGCAGCCCACAGATAACCCTTCTTGATTCTCCTGCGCAAAATGGCGGCTGGCGCGGTGTCTCAGTTGACGCTTTCGACGCACCCGATGAATCGCTCCTGGAGTGCGAGTTCTCGCTGGAACTCCTCGAAGACCTTCAGCGGGAAATGCAGAGGAAGCTTGCCTTGGCACCGCCTCCTCCACCGCCACAGAAGCCACTTGTTGCGCCGCTCACTCCCGAGGAAGAAGCTGCACTGCAAGACGCCGCAGCCAAGACCAAATACGGCCGCAAGCCAGACCAGTTCGTCATTCACGACAAGCTATACGCTCGAGACTTTGCGACTCTGTTGCCTCGCGTCTTCAACGGTGACCCCAGGGCATGGTTGAACGACAGCATCGTCAACGAGTATCTTTCTATTCTCATCGCTGCAAAGAAGAAGGAAATGGGCTTCACTCACCAGCGCAACGGTCCTGCACCGCCCCTTCACGCCTTTTCGTCATTCTGGTACCAGACTGCCGATACTTCTCGCTGGACCAACAGGTTTCAGCTGAAAGGCAAGCAGTACCTCGACGCCGACCTTCTCCTCTATCCTATCTGCGACAGAGGTCACTGGCGTCTGCTCGCGGTTTATCCCCGGGAACGCACTATTGAGTACTTTGACTCTATGGGTCTTGACGGACAAACATACATCGACAAGCTCGTCAAATACCTCGAGCAGGAGCTCGGTGAACACTGGGTTCCTTCGGAGTGGAATAAAGAGACTGGCCAGAGGAGTGAGCAACAGAAGAACGGAAGCGATTGCGGTGTCTTCACTCTCCTGAACGCTTTGACCCTCATCCGCGGCGACGCTCCCACTCGTGTCCTTTCTACCGACGGCATGGACGATGCACGCAAGCGTATCGCAACCACTCTGCTGGCCGGCCATCCCACCACCGAGCTGGAATGAGTACAACTCTTCCACTCTCCATTCGAACCCACGGATTCTCTTTTCGCATTGTTTTTGGCGCACAGCATGGAGTTCAGTCGCTTATGAGGTTTTTCACGACGGTTACATTACGACCCTGATACCCCATGATACCCCCCACCGCCCATAGAGGCTTGAGTTTTTGCATAGTTGGAGTTTTGTTTTTTTGGTACCCTGGTAGTTGTCCAGAGGTCTGTTTGGCGAGCAGTTTGTTCTTGTTTGTACCTTGGTAGTTGCCTCGGGGTCTTTTTTTTTTGCAGAGCACGTGGTACGCTCGTCTGTTTATACAGCGAGAGGCTTAGTTTCTTTTCTTGCGGAGCACGTGGTACACTCGTCTGTTTATACAGCGAGAGGCTCAATTTCTTTTCTTAGTAGGGCACGTGGTACGCTCGTCTGGTCATCCAGCGAGAGGCTCTTGTATTTGGTTTCTTTCTTGTAGCTAGTTCTTTAACATTGCCCTAGTCCTCCTGGTTTGAGACCTCGACTCACCTCTTCGGGGGTTCGAGTTGGTCTCGCTGGGGGGACGGGCGGGTTCTGGTTAGCCAGCGAGAAGCACAATTGCGTTATAGCATAGCGTAGTGTTTACAGTAAATTAGACTGTACTATATACTCTATGTCGCATGCTCTATGATGCAACCTTGACAGTGAGCTTACCAAAGTGCTTCTGGTCCCACATGTATTGGTAGGCGTCCTTGAGATCCTTGAGCTCAAACACCTTCTCGTCAACAATGGGGTGCAGGTCATTTGCCTCAATTGCCTTGCACATATCCTCCATCTGCAGTCTTGAACCGACCAATACACCGCGCACAGTGCAGATGTTGTTAAGGCAGTCGAGGAACGTAGGCTGGTCCTTTCCGCCGCCGCCAATGAAACCGATAATGGAGATGACGCCGTCGATGGCGATGGCCTTGAGAGACTGTGCCATCGTGGTCGGGCCGCCAACCTCGACAACGTGCTGTACACCAGCGCCGTTGGGAGTGAGCTTCGCGGCTTCCTCACCCCAGTTGGTCGTCTCCTTGTAGTTGATGACGTGGTCGGCACCATACTTCTTCAAGAGGTCGGCCTTTTGTGCGGAACTGGTTGTCGCAATGACGCGGGCGCCAGCTGCCTTTGCGAATTGCAGAGCGAAGATGGATACACCACCGGTACCTTGTGTGAGGACTGTGTCACCAGGCTTGAGAGCGCGTGACTCCAGACCGTACAGGGCGTTCCAAGCTGTGAGGGCGGCGCATGAGAGGGTAGAGGCCTCGAGCATGTTCAGGTTGGAGGGGGCCTTGACGAGACCAGCTTCGTCGAAAACGCCGTACTCTCGCAGAGTACCGTCGATGGCGCCTCCGAGACCGGTGCCGAGAGATTGTGCGTCTAGGGAGCCGGCGATGTGACCTTGGTTGAAGAGGGTGACTACCTTGTCTGGGTGATGTTAGAAGGCTGTATGCGTTGGTCTGTATAGAGATACAAACCTCCAGGCTTGAAGCGTGTGACGCGCTTGCCGACCGATTCTACAGTGCCGGCGCCATCCGAGCCAGGCACAGTGTTGTCCTTCATCGGGAAGGGGTATTTGCCCATGGGAATGATAAGGTCGCGGTAGTTCAATGATGCGGCGTGGACTGTCCATTGGTCAGTATCATTGCTGCAGGCTGTTCGATGAGCTCTACGCACCCTTGACTAGAACGTCCTTGTCGCCAATCTCAGGTACCTTGGCCTGCTCATTGAATTTGAGAGAATCAAAGCCATCCTGGCCTTGAACGGTCCATGCCTTTGTCGTTGATGGTGCCATGTTGTAGTCGGTTATGTGTGTGAGTGTTTGTTATGGGGAATTCGAAGGAGCTACAAAAGACCTTTGAACCTTTTATGACGTCTCTGCCATGACGGTGCCTGCTCCTTATGTACTGCCATGTGCATGTGGGGTCGTCGAAGGTCCGAATAGTGACGCAAGAATAACAAGAGCTAGCCCGCGTTCACGTCACAGCTTGTAGCTCCCCTGTAACTGCGGCTATCATGGATCATTAGCTTCCTGGACTGTTGGCGATCAGTCTGGCCGCACGGGGAAGACCCGATGGCAGCGTTGTCGCCATGATTTCAAAGGCGAACTGCCGGTCTGGAAGACGAGTTTGTCAGGATAGCTGACCGATGTTCTGCTTGCCTTGCCGGGAATTGCTCGGATTTTCGGTAAACGTGCAGATTAGAGCCTGGGGCTGCGCGCAACATGGCAGATGTCGGCAAAGGTCGCTGGAACCGCATTTGTAAGCTCCAGGTAGGCGGAGTGGGTCCGATGGAGAAACGCGAGGATGTCGCGTGGCTTCGCGCCTACTCATGCCCCGCACCGTCTTCTACTGCCTTCTACCAAGAGAGTCGTCTCTTCTGAGGCGACCCACTATACTACACTCGGCGATATAGGCTGTAACATCAAATGCGGTAGAGGTCTCTTGCGTAGCTTCCTTTTGTCATACTTACAGTGTAAGAGCGAGCACGTCCGCACGCGCGATCTGATTGTTGGTCCACGTCAACCTAATGAAGAACACCCTGGAGCCTACGTTGCGGTTAGGTCACCTACGTTGCAAGCTTTCGTCTTGATGTAGCCCGCAGACCTGTTCCGTTCTTGTCGTGTATGAGATGGGTCTACATCGCCAGCTACCAAGTGTCTCCAGCTTCCAGCCAGCCACCTGCAGTCGCGCTTAGTGCGACAATGGTCTACCAATAGCCGGTCCTCCCTGTGTTGCGCGCCGCCTACGCCTCATCTCGGTTCCCCAGAATAGATCATACCTTGAGGGAGCGATGATGGAGAAGTGGGGGCTCAGTCCCGGGCACAATGCTTTCTCCATCCCGATCGTCCTTGAGATAGTTGTATGCGACAGCACCGGCACTCATTGAGCACTCTGGCTGCTCTCCTCTTGTTGTCATGCTGCATACGCCCACAGTATTACATGTGCAACACCCCGCTGAACGCTAGCATTGTGGTGTTTTCTTGATGACCTCAGGGCTGTGCCGCAATCATCCTATGCTCCCAAAATCGTACCCTCCTAGACTCACAACATTGCGATAACGATGGCTTCTCGAGGGATTCAGTCGGCTTATTCCTCACGGGATGTTTCACCGGAATCACGTCCTGAACCCTACGACCCCTTCCGCACAGAAACCGATCCTATCGAGCTCTCATATCTATCACGACTGTCGTCAGATGGTGGAGAGGCACATATATCTCACGCAACATCCTTGGGTCAGTCTCACGATGAGAATACAAAGGGTGGGTTCCGGGCGGGAGCCTACTTGGGCCTGCCACACGGTGACAGCCGGTATGAGCCGGTGCGAGGAGAACACGACATATCCGGCCACTCCATACGGTCAGCGAGGGAGTCTACGTATACTTTAAACTCGCTTTATAACAAGAAGACCATGGATGCGGATACCCAAGCTCTCGTCGACAGGAGATCTGGCGAACTGGTTCAATGGCACATATACTGGACAACACCGGCTCTCATAGTGGCATTGTTTATGGCTGGGTTTGCGGCGGCAGTGGGTCACCACTTGTTTTATATGCATCTCAATGGGCAGCCGGCCACCGAGCAGTTGAAGATGGTGCGATATGGCACAGCCTTGGCCTTCTTTGTCAAAAGTACACTGGTTGGAACTGTCATCATGTGCAACCGTCAGCGCATATGGTATACTTTCCGACGAAAGGCCATGACGATCAATGGTATCGATGGCCTGTTTTCTGCAACGGAAGATCCGACGCAGTTTTTCCTCAACTGGGAGATGATCAGAAGTGGCAAGCTTGCTACGCTCATGGCAGCCTGTACCTGGGTAAGCCTACAAATCTTTCACAGAAGACAGAAGATTTATGCTGACCTACCCAAGTTACTACCACTTGCATCCGTCATGTCCCCAGCCTCACTAACATCTGAGCTAAGAACGTTCAACAATACTGCCAGTTGCTCTGTAGCTACTCTAAACTTCACCCAGGAATCTACGTACGACTTTCGGGACATGAGTAAATTCTGGCAAAAGAGCTTGAATTTCTACAACACCACTGAGCCAGCAGAAGAGGAAAGGAGAGATGGAGACGTATATTCCGCGGTAACGGGTACAGGAAGCTTCTTCGACTACTACGATCAGCCATCGAAGAACGCGCGCCGATTGGCCTTCAGTAGCGTGTACATGCAGAAGCCACAGCCTCGCGAAAACGCTTCTACCGTATTTTGCGGATCGGGCTGGAATTGTACATACACAATAAGCTTCGTGGGGCCCGGCTACCAATGCGAGGATGTCGATAATACTGATGAATCTGACGCGCCATTTGCATCGTCCGAACTGGCGCCGAATGGAAGCCTTGTATATCTTGCAGATGTTGGCCAAGGCGATTACGGGTATCAAGATCCAGTAGACGATACAGAATTTTTAGGCGTATTCGAGAACGAGCCAAACCTCTGGATCGGATACGCCATCAATACCTCCGAGCCGTACTCGCACGATGCGGAACCGGAGTACATGGCCAAATGGGGAAACGTACATGGTAAGTACTGGCTGTGCGAAGCACATGTAAGAAATATACTGACTTGTTACGTCCATCTCTACAGAGCCCAAGATATTTAAATGCGTCATGCAGTACACCAAATATACTTTCAACATGAGCTACAACCCTAGACAATCCGCAACCCGCTGGGAACGAGAGTTCCTGCGTCCAGTTATCGGAGGGTAAAGTAGCCGCCACGAATAGCTGTCAAGATATCTTGCTAACTTAACACTAGTATGTAGCCCCCTTGCTATACTTCACCAACGCGGTTCTAAGACATCTTATTATTCGTGCTAACAGTTTGACAGACCATCCTATCGAACCCCAGAATAACGTTGAAGAATACAAAGTAACGGCTTCCTTTCATACTCTAGGTTCACTCCTCCGACGCTTCCTGCGTGGCAAAATCGAAAAGCAGAAGATACTCATTACATACTCAGATCTGTCTGAAACGCGTCTAGTCAACAGCAGCACCTCGTACCCGTTGGTGGATCTGAAGACAGAGATACAGGATCTCTTCGAAGACATACTCATCACTCTCCTCAACGACCCAAATCTAGTCGTGGCCCAAACCCAAGATGTGCCTTGCACAAAGTCACGAACCATGATGGTATACGTATATTACAAACACTCTCTATGGATCGGATACGCAATCGTTATCGCAATCACTTTCGCTTTCATGCTGGTCGGCGCGTGGTCGCTTCACATGAACGGGGTAGCATCTGATGTGCTTTTCTCACGCATCATGGCTACTACCCGCAATCCTACGCTGGATCACTTGAGCGTTGGCGCATGTTTGGGCGGGGATCCTTTTCCTAAGGAGCTGGCGAAGACGAAGTTACGCTTTGGTGTGCTCCTTGAGGATGATCCTAGGGAGGGGCCTTTGGGCAAGGTGGAACATTGCTGCTTTGGCACTATGGGCGAGACGAAGGAGATTGTCAAAGGTGGTACGTATGCGGGACTGAAGGAGTATAGGGTCGATGCATGAATGATTAGGCATTTATAACTCTATGTTGTAAGCTGCCGTGAGTAGCACTCATATGTTTCCCCAAATTTAATAAGTATCCCACGCCAACCTAGAGAAAAACTGAACAGCTTAGAGCTTACGTTAACGTTAGGTTACACACTTTGCAAGAGTTTAGGTTAATGTAGTCTGTAAGCCTGTCTAGCTGTTTTCTTGTATAAGGCGTACCTATTCAATCTCCCATGGAACGATAGCGTACATGGATATGTCATGCCGTGTTCATCGAGTTATACTCATGACATGTTCATGTACGCTATCGTTCCATGGGAGATCGGATGGGTAGCCTGATTACTATAGAAGCGAATCACCGGACGTATATACGCCCTGAATACCACGAGATAATGCCCATTATTCCTCAATCACCACTAGGTAGCTCCAGGCTACCAGGAGACTCTCCCTGGCATTCTCAACGACTGTCCCATGTTCCATGGCTAGACTCGACTTCTAAAGAAAGAAGAAACCTTGAGACCGTCCATCGATTTCGCCAATACCATCCGGTTGTGTTGGCATATGTACAGCGATAGAAAACGTGACATAAGCTCGGCCCGGACCAACTACGACTGCTGACCCATACCCAGGCCTAAGAACTCGAATAGAATAGGGTTACCCGCAACAGCGATATACGCAATACCTGATCATAATTAGTAGTTGATTTTCTGTTGATAGCATGTGACATACCCGTGTACACAATCAACTTCGTGACGACCTCAACGTCATAGCGCACTCGTGGTGTCGTAAGCTTCATGAAGATCTCCCGCTTCTCGTTCTCCTCCTCGGTTGGGCTTTGTGTGAGCGTGTTGACATCGCCAGCGACGTCTGTATCGCTCCTTGGAGGAGTAGACGTATTCTTCTCGTTTACATGCACTTCACCTGTGCCCATCATCTGCTCGTACGAGTGTACCCTAGACGCCATCGGTGTGGGCAGGAGACCTGCGCCAAGTAGCGGTTCCCCCTTCTCGATGTTGGGTGTATCAAGGACCGCGGGGCCGGGTATCCAAGCGGAGTCTTCGGGTACCGTACCATCTAGTGAGTTGACACTTTCCCGTCGTCTGCGATTTCGGTACGCAAGCGTCTCGTAAGCATCGGCAGCAGACTGTGGTCCAACGGATACAGACCGCTTACGCGGGTGGGCGAGGTTCTTCAGCATATGGGGCAACTCTGATGCAGGTGGAATGACGTTGTCGTCATCAGCGAAAGGTTTAATGGACTTGTACTTGGACGCGTTGAGGAAGAAGGCGCGGGGCATGTTCCAACGGGCTTGCTCTAGGAGACGGAAAATGGGTGGCAGGATAGTAAACAAGGCAGGCTTCATGGTCGCTCTCCAGACGAAGATTACTACAACACCGAGTAGAATGCGGATTGTTGCCTTCAGCAGGCCCATTTCTTCCAGATCGAATGGAACAGATGAGGGGTATGCATCTTTCAAGGCATAGCCGGTCTGAGCGTAATGCCATGCACCAAGATTGATTCCAATAACCACACCGGAGAAGGATACGCTATCGTCGTAGCATGGACAGTCGTCGGCAGGCTCCGGATGGATGCGGACCAGAACGCACACGACCAAAGTTGCGACGAAGATGTCCATGTAACTGCCACTGAAGACGAACGAGTCCATCCAGTCCCCGCAGACCAATTGGAATGCCGTGATCAAAGCACCCATTATACTTCCGACCAGGACATCCAGAAACCCGTGCATGCCGCAATACAGTCGCCCCGCAATGATGGAGAGCGCGTAGAAGTAGAACAGCGCCTGTAAGCCCGCATTCCAGTTTGAATTATCTTGCTCGGCTGACTGGTGCAACGTGTATATGGCATAGAAGGCGACCGATACCGCGTTGGCAGAGTGCGACGAGGGGAAGCCGTATTCGAGCGCAGCGGACCCGGACATGGATATACGGGCAAGTGGGGGTGATAAGGGCCTGGGCAAGCAGAGCATGTCCTTGAGGAAGCCCGTTCCATACACACCGGCTGCAAGCATGAAGACAGTTCTATGTACGTCAGACGTCGCACGATAGTGAGAGACAGCTTCTGACATACGCTCGGCCAATGCTAGTGTAGCCGCACCAGAACTGGATGGGCAGGAACACCATGAAGAAGGTGTGTGTGCCGAGGTTGGCGGTATAGGCGAAGTAGGAATCGAGCGCGGGCGAGCGCACTTTGTCCTGCATCAGGGCGAGCCAGGGCGTCTCCCAGCGCACAATGGGTATGAGGCGGTTGCGCAGGGCATTGCGCCATCTGGGCAGGCGTTGGGCATAGTGATCGTGGCCCTTGTTGCCCGCGTCCAATTTGGGCTCCGTGGTCGCTGCGGTGTCTTTGGGCGCATCATGTCGCGGACTCATGGCAGCGGTCGCAGAAAGGGGGTGGGCGAGTTAATCGAACGTGCATGTCCAGCGGCAGCGATAGCGTCGTGGAGTAAGACGAGGCTGTGGGCTTGGATGCATGCCATCGATCGATAGACATGGACAGGCACGTTGCGACTTGGCGCTAGTTTAGCGAGCCGCTGGAGACGTAGCGTGGTTGCCATATGCGACCGAGCCCTCTAACAGTCAACATCCACCTCTCTTAAGCCTCGACCACTCGCTCCCCACACCAACTCCAACACCATCTTCCTTCTCCGTATTGATAACCTCGTCTGAAACAGGACACGACTACACATCCCGCACACTTCCAGACATGGCCACCGCACCTTCCCAGAACTACGACTATCTCCGGCGCAAGCAGAGCACAAAGGCGGCCGTTTCATCAATCACACCAGTCCGCAGCCACGCCCGCACACCGAGCGAGCGCAACAGCAATGGCACCGTTAGCTCATATGGAACCACCAACACGCGCGACACAGCCATCACCGAACCACCAGCCTACTCCAAGAAGCTCGTTGTTGTCGGTGACGGTGGATGCGGAAAGACATGTTTGTTGATCAGCTACAGCTCCGGTAACTTCCCAGAGGTACGCACCACCAGCTAAAAAGACATGTCATGTGATTCTAATGCGACTGCAGAAATATGTACCAACAGTCTTTGAGAACTACATCACTCACACTCCTCATCCTCCCACAGGCAAGATGGTCGAACTTGCGCTGTGGGATACCGCTGGACAGGAGGAATACGACAGGTTGCGACCGCTCTCCTACCCAGAGACAGATGTCATTTTCGTTTGCTTCGCAATTGACTGCCCCAACTCACTAGAAAACGTCATGGACAAGGTAAGATACTTCGATACACATAATCCATGCATTGGCTGACATCTTCCAGTGGTACCCAGAAGTTCTCCACTTCTGCCCAACAACGCCCCTCATGCTGTTGGGCCTCAAGTCCGACTTGCGCAACAAGAAGAACTGCATCGAGCTACTCAAGACACAAGGCCTGACGCCCGTCACATCGGAGCAAGGTCGTGCGGTTGCGAAGAAAATGGGCGCTGCCTACATGGAGTGCAGTAGTAAAGAGCAAGACGGTGTAGAGGAGATCTTCGACATGGCCGTCACCATGGCCGTCGGCGAGGAGCACAAGGAGCAAGAAGAGCGCCGTGTCGGCACAGCGACCTCATCAAGAGGGAACACGTCGTCGTTCCCTGCTGGGGGCGGTAAGAAGAAGAAGCGCAGCGGCTGCAAGGTCCTATAGTTTGTTTGTGTCTATCGAGAGGAGAGCATATCGAGATTCACGACGCTGGACGACACGATCAAGATGTTTAATGACATACGGCTCACCTCCACCACTTGTCCGGGCATGTTCGCTTCCTCTTAATCCTAGGGAAGTCTTTACATGTACATGGCCGCCTGGCGTTTGGGTTTCCTTTTTGGCATGAGAATGGACGCAGCGATTCCATAGTCCACAGTAGCAGCATTTTCTTTCCCTGTATCTGTATTCGGTATTCTGTATTCTGTATGTATGCATGGCGCCAGTGGGCGATCAAATTTGCCTGCGCCGGGGAAGTAAATCAAACATATTTCTGAAACCTGTTTTTCTCCAAATTGATCATCGCTAGCCGATGATAGAACTCGTGTCGCTGACCGCCTTCATACATGCTTTCGCCCAAATGTACATGGCACGTGAAATGATGCATACCTTAGTCTCAAGTATCATACACACGGTGCATGTTCTGTGTAAAGATATAATACAACGTGGTGACTGCGATCCCCTGGTGTCGCGCACTGTGCCAATGACTCGCTCTGGGGTATCATTACATCATAACCACTATCGCCATGGTCTGTTCGACGGCTGGCCGTGCACCACCGGGCGCGTTTGTTGTTTATCGCAGGCTAGCAAGGTGTCTCCCTGCCACCGCTCATTTCCTTTCCTGAGGCACTTCCGTCTCGCCTTCATGTTCCGTTGCGCCCTCCTGTTGTCCTTCTTGTTGCTCACTTGGGTCCTTGGCCATGACGTTCTCAAAGTGACTCCATAGCGACTCGACGGGTGCGAACTCGTTGCCGACGGATGTGACTTCTTCGAGCGAACGGTTCAGCTTGTTGATGTTTTGTAGGACGACTTCTAGACTCTGGTTGTTGGTTAGTATAAACCGGTGTAGAAGCTGGGACTTAGAGGGCTGCGGTGCGCTCCGTGGTGGATTGGGTGGGTGCACGTACTTGGGCAATTTCAGTGACGAGCAATTCGCGCTGTTGTTCGTAGTATGATTTTGGCGGCGCAGTATCTTGACCGTTGGTCGACGCGGGAAAGTATGGCGGTGCCATGTTTGGTGTTCTTCCAAGGTTCCGTGTCGTTGCGATCACTTGACACAACGAAAAAACCTGAACAGGCCTGCAGCCTACAATGAAACAACGGGAAGCAAACAAGAAGACGTCGCGTCAGTCTAGTCCACGGTGTTCGATATATCTTGATTGGGGTGCGCTGGGCGCGAATCTTGGGTTCCGGGAGCCGTTTCGTGACGCCGGTCAGACGCGTTAGGTAAGCTTTGCTGCGCTAGTCCACGTACGGTCTAGATCCATCACTGGACCACTCATGTCCCATGGATCCAGCTTTTGCCAGCTACGGACACGGGTAATAGTGGGTAGGGCTTAAGCTAAAAAGTTTCTTAAAGCTGCGGTCTGAAGCTCCTCGTCTCTCGTTTTCCACCCAAGTTTCCGACATCCAGTCCCCCACGGCGCGATCACCGCCGCGATGTGAGTCAGTAATCCCTTTCCTTTACTCCTAGCTACATGAAGATAAACCTACATCTGTCAATCCGCTGAGCCCGCCGCGGTGTAACACCGACGGTGGAAGTGAGGATCAATTGTATTCACTCTCAGATTTTAGCGCTAGCCCAAACAGTCTTTCACCGCTCTTATATACCTTAAGCAAAGACTAACGAAGCCTTTGCTCTAGACCATCCTATACTATGGCGGCTGCCCCAGCCCCCAAACAGATCAAAGAACCCTTCCCCATATCCCACGTCGCCGGCCGCTACCTCCTCTTTGATGTGGACGTTATTGCGCACTGCCGTCGCACGCACAACATCTGCGGTCTCCTCGTCGGCACGATACCGAACCTCAGCCAGCAGAACGTTTTTCTGGGCATACCACTTGAACTCATGCCGGAAGAGGCTCGGGTACTCGTCGATAAAGGCGCTGCGTATCTCGTGGATGATGCGCAGGCACATCAGAAGGCTTTTGCGGAGATGAACCGTGAGGATAGACTGAGGTATATGGCGGAGATGGATAAGCGCGGTGAGGAGGTTACTAAGGAGCAGACTGAGCTGGCGGAGAGAAGGAAAGAGAGGGCGTTGGAGGCGAAGGGGCTTAAGAGGGAGGAAGTCGAGAAGAATGGTGTTGCTGCTAGCACTGCTTCGGACGATACTCTGCAAGGAGATGACGACAGTCTCGCGAGCTCGGGTCTTGGATTCATCATGAAGGGATCGAGCTTCGCAGACTCCTCGGCGCCAGCAAAGTCAACCAAGACCACAGTCATCTCCAGCCCCGCTAGTTCAGTCACTGATAGCTCGGATCTCGGTAGCTCTGGTCTAGGCTTCATCATGAAAGGCTCTAGTTTCTCAGACTCCTGGGTGCAAATCAAGGCGCCCAAGGTGGACTCCTCAGTCGAAGAGGTCTCGCTCTTCGATGCGGCGCCCCCTTCGTCAGCTCCCGAACCAGCTGTTCCTGTCCAGGCCAGCGCGCCGAAAGGTGTTGCGGCCCAGAAGCACTTCGTTACACCAACAACTTCATACCCGCCTCTACCAACCCCCGCCAAGGACCCGTCTGTCCCTCCACCAGCTGTACCGGACAGCTACCCGCTGTTCCGCTACCTACACTCCAAGGGCTACTACCACATGCCCGGTCTACGCTTCGGATGCCACTACAACGTGTACCCAGGCGACCCCCTTCGGTACCACAGCCACTTCGCCGCCACTGGCTTGGGCTGGGACCAGAAGTTCGACTTGCTGGACGTTGTCGGTGGAGGACGCCTCGGCACAGGCACAAAGAAGGCCTACATGATCGGTGGCGAGAACCCCGAGGTAGATGCCAAAGAGAACGAGCCTGTGAGGGCATTCTCTGTTGAGTGGGCGGCTATATGAGGGCTGCGTCACTGCGACTGCATACATGGATGTTACGACTTGATGAATACAATGCATAGATAGAAGAACAATGATGAGCCTTTGTTCAACACACAACTGATCGGATCTATGTTTTTCTTTGTGACGTGGACTAGAACTCCAAAGCAGCAGTAGCCTGCCCTTCCACTGCGTCCTTCTCTGCGTCGTCATCGCCCTTGGGGCCCTTACCCTTTCTATACACCCTCGCATCCCTAGGATCGAATCCCCCATTTCCCCAGAGCGCCCACTCTGGCGTCTCGTCACCAACGTAATCTTCTGGTCTCCAGCCTACTACTTGCCCTTCCTCCATCCTCGTCCCTTGTACCTTGCCCTCGTAGAGATCAAAGAAGCGCTCGAAATCTATTCTTGTCGCCCATTTGCCGTTCTTCTTGAATCTCGTGCGGTCCGCTAGGAGGATACAGCAGGAGTGCGCATGTTCGGCGCCGATGCCGTAGGTCAGGCCGCGGTTATTCAACTCTTTCTCGAGTTCCGTTACGAATTCGGCAACTTCTTCGTAGAAGGGGACGTTCTGCATAGTAAGACCCGCAGATCCTGCAGCTGAGGTGCCGCAGTATGTGACGCCTTTGACTTCGACGAAACCAGGCAAGGCACGTTCGACGAGGTCAGCGTAGCCACGCACTTCCTCGGCCATGTTGAAGCCTTTGACAAGTGTTAGGCGGAAGACAGTGCGTTGCTCGAACCGGCGGTTACGAAGGATATCTAGGCAAGCACAGAAGCGCTCCCAGAAATCCCGGTGAAGGGGTCGATCAATCTTACGAAGACTGTCTTTGTTTGATGCGTCGATGGAGACGTAGAGCTGGGTAACTGGAATCAAAGAAGCTAGTTGAGCGGGGTGCTGAGCGTTACAGACAAGGAACGTAGAGATCCGGTTCTGGTGCATGATCCCGAGAAGCTCGTTGATGTGTGGGTAGAAGATTGGTTCGCCGACCAAACTCAGGGCGCAGTGACGAATGCGCATGGCCTCGCTGAAACGCTCGGCTCGGACACCTGGGACTCCCTTCATCATTTTAATCTTTTTGTAATGTGCTGCTGTGATGCCGTCGAATATCAGATCCGGAGCATCGGTTATCCAGCGCCACGTGGTGCCGACCGGGTTGGTGCCGTGTCGCCAGCAAAAGACGCATTTGTTGGAGCATGAGAGGGACGGGGTTGCTTCCATGCATAAGTGAGAAGCGATACCATAGAAGGAGTACTTGTAGCAGGAGCCTCGGCCACGCAGAGCAGATTTAGTCCATCGGCAGATCTTGACGCCCGAATGGGAGCCGATGATGCTGTAACCTTGCTTGGTAAGAGCGGCATACGTAGGGGAGGTGGTTGGAACCATCTCCTTAGGAGCCTGACGGGATGCGAGGGCCTTGACGGGTCCAGGGGCGGTTGCGGAATTTTTGTAGGTGGTAAAGTCGACCGGCATTGGAGCATTCACCATCGAGCCTAGGTCTTCAAGGTCGTCTACGCGTGTATTTTGGTCGTTCCCATCCTCTAGATCCTCTTCATCGCTCTCAATGGGATCTCCGCTACCCGGGACACCGTCACCGAGTCCTCGTCCTTCGGCGATCTCCACGAGCGCGTCCTGAACGCCTATCCTCCAATCTTGTAGCATCTGTTCGGCATCGGTCTTGACGTCGGCCATACCCAGAGGATATGCTCTCTTCCTACCAGTCAGCCTGGCCATCCACTTGTCTACCTCTCTCGATTGGCTGCAGAAGCCCTCTTCTTCAGTCGGCCATCCTTCTCTATCGCCGAAACCAAACACGGCGTATCCTAGCAAAGCGCTCAATGGCGCCGTATCGATCCTGAAGTCGTTGTGCGTCTCCTGCAAGCTCTCTACGAAGACGTCCAAGACGGTGTCGATGTTGTAGGTCGGTACGAGGATGATGTAGAAGTGTTTGACGTTCGCGTCGGTTTTCGGTGGGCTAATGAAGTAGTCGTCGTGTTCAACGTAGGATATATCGAGCGTCTGGGGCTCTAGGAAGGACTTGGATTGATCGCATCCCCTGCAACGTGAAGCAGGAGGTCAGTCGGCGCCTCAGATATGTCGTGCATGCCCAAAACATACCTTGTCCATTCGCTCAGGACTTGCGCGAACTGCGTAGCGTAACGTTCGGTCGTCCCAGACAGCGATTGGAAGAATATCAAGGGCTGAATTCTATCCGTCTTATGGTCAAATGCAGGTGCCGCGACCACCTTCTTCGGTGCCTTCCTGCCCTTTACTCTTTTGGGGCCTTTCTTCGTCTCGGCGACGGCAGCCACTGCCCTTGTGTCATCCTCGGCGTGGTTATCGATGTTGAGCTTGGATGAGTCGAGTGTCGTGGTGTATTCGGGCAGCCATTCGGGTTTGAGCTCGACGGCGGTCTTGGGCGAGGAAGGAGCGGGTGATACAGAGAGCTTCTCCCTCTGGTCGCGGTCGCGCGCGTATATGACAAGGCGCGCGATGGTCGCTACTACTAGTGCAGACAGTAGGATGGGGAGCCGATGCTCGTGCCATATGAGGAGAACCTCTGCGGTGTGATTAGCTACAATTGTGCGTGATGAGCCTCGTGACCTACCAGCTGGCAATTGGTCCAGCAGCTCGAGTAAAGCCATGGCGCTGCTCTCAATGTTGCGCAGGCGTTGTCTTGGGGGTACGAACTTTTGGCCAGCCACTCGCGTGGGGTTCATTACCTAGCGCCAGGCGGGGTTCGTGGCTTCCGCGCTGGACCCTGCACTACAATCTACCCTGAAGGCTTCATCGTGCTCTCGCACATCACACCTTTACTACCACAACACTGCATCGCGTGTTTCGCACAGATCTATGGTTATTGCATTGTTCGCGAGTCTAGTAATTCTCCCGTTGTGGATACGTTGCCGACTTCTTCATGCACACTCCTCTCGCCTACAGAGCCTTCTGTACTCTCCTGTATGAAGACTGTCAGCGACAGGGATTCATAGATGCTAATACTACGTGAGAGAAGCACTGGTGCTATTGAGTATCAACATGGGGTCGTGGTTCTGAGGCTCAGTATAACCTTATCTCGTGGCTTTCTTTTACGGCTCTCGCGTTCATCAAGCATCTCTGCCATGCAATTCTCAATCTCATCATGAAATGCGCAGAAGACGAGTTCCAGCTGCTTCATCTGTTTGTACCTTCTTCTATACTGCCCACTC